AAGTATAATATCTAAATATTTATAAAATTCTAGCTCAAAGTACAATTCATTGCAAGTTGAAATGAAAAATATCTCCAGCAAAAGGAATGTCATCAAAATGTAAATCTAAAACAAACAACAGATGCCTTGAAGCAGTGCTTGGACAATTTCATTGAAAGGCCTGCTGCCAGTGGTGGGGAGGGGCTGGTTGGGAAAAGATTATTCTGACAGGTTCATTTCCTGGGTTTGTTCCATTCTTACTTACTATGCCTGGCTTTGAAAAATAAGACCCCAATCCCTAGTGAATAAGAATAAGGTCTGCTGGGCACCAGACACATACATGACTATGCAGGAGATTTCAACACAACACAAAACAGAATATGGAAAAATACTTTAAGATCACATCTTAAAAGAAATTTCTCCTGTTTTTTTTCTCCCATCATACACCAAAGAAATAAAGGATCCAAGGGGAAGAGAGCTAGAGGATAATAATGAAAACAACTGCATTTAAGTGTTCAATTCTGACAGGCAGAATAAACAAAGGCAGCCTTGGGATGGTGAGAAATAGTGCAAAACACATCCTCAAGAGAACGCAAGGGAATATTATATCTGGTAAGATTAAAAGTGCCACCAGCTCTTCTAACTCAATAATAAGGTGACAGCTGCTTAAGTGGAAATAGTACTTCAGTCTCAATGGGAACTAACTGTTTGGTGCCTAATGTATAAGATCAGGGAAAATTTTATAGGTAAGTAAGTCCTGGGCACTCGATATTTTTGAAGGACTAAGACTCCAGAAATAGTGACTCACACACACTAATTAAAGGAAATATGATGACACTGAAGGTACAAAGGTGGGAGAATTTCTCAAAGGCTAATGTCTTCGGAAATAAAAGATTTGAAAGTACGTGTGTAAGTAACATATTGAGCAGAGAGATATTTAGGTCTAATTTCAGGAGTTCTAAGCAAAATTTGCCCAAACTGCATAAAGTTGTTTGGGATTTATGATCCCTCTTAGCTAACATCAAACTACAATCAGGTTCATAAAATTCTCTAAGAATGTGGCCTGGGACAGAGTTTCATTTAGCACTTGGCTTTTCCTCCGTATTTCCTTTCCAAGTGGATATTCAGGTCTGCATGTCAAATTTCTATTTTTGTGCCAGACTCAGGACATGGAAAGATTCTGAAGAACGCACATAGCTAACTGGAGGGCCCAGAGATTTTGGAGATATCCATGTACCAGCCCTAAATTACCACTGGAAATGGCAGGAACATTCTTTTTAGCTAAAGATATTCATTAGAGGAATACTACAGACCATGGATAATTAACGTATTGTATAAAAAAGAACTGCCTTGCAAATTCAAGTCTGGATCTCAAGAACTTTGGCATTCTAGAATTGTTTGTATATAGCATTAGAGATAATCATCGTTAACCTTCTTTTTTCCTCCCAGTGGAATTGAATTATATACCGTAAACAGCTTATTTTGCATAGTGTGGTTATTTTCATGTTATTAAACAATTTTCTTCAATGTTACTTTTCAACTTGGGCTGTACATTATAATTACCTATGGAGTTCGGTAAAAATACCATGCCCAGGGTCAATCCTAGATCAGCCCCTTCTATTCCGCCATCAATATCACAATCAAATCTCCAGAAGTCATTCCTAGCTAAGTATATCTTTTATAAGTGTCACAGGTGAATCACAGGTGATTCTGATTATAGTCGGCATTTTTAGTAGCTGAATATATTCTATTATGTGAGTATACTCTGAGTTTAGTCAACTAATCTTAGTTGACTTGGGATGATATTGCTCCTTTAAATGTACAGGGCAAATAGTAAAAACAAGGTTTTTTAAAAAAAAAATTTATAAAAAGAGTTTCCAGAGGTAAAATTCAGTTGATATTTCAGAGTTATTTCATTATAAGAGGCCACCAGAACGCTGCGTTACATCATGCAATTTTAGCTGTATCACCTAAAATCCTTTTAGTGCTGAGGTCTGAAGCCGGCATGTAAATGAAGACTCTAATGATTACATTCCTGTCTGATAAACAGTCTGTATTCTCTTGTGCTTTCAAGCCATATTCAATAATGTGAGAAGTGGGAAGGTGCAAGGTTCACGAAACAATAATGTAAAAGAGACATCATGATTTAAAAAAAATATATATAGGCCCTAAAATCTTACTACTAGTATTTCTTTATTTCCAAAAAATAAAGATTATACTTCAAAAACTGCTCGAAGTAACTGAAGACAGTAACGCTTTAAATTGTGATGTAAGTGTAGGATATGATCAACTTTAATGTTCATATTCT